TACGATATCTTAAGTACTGTCAGGGCGCATGTCGCCAGTTGCTGTATCGCTGTTTGCATGCAAGACAAGTGTGAATAATCGGAGTGTGAATGCAAGAAGAAGCGAGGGAGGAGAAGAAGAAGGAGGGAAGAAGAAGAAGAAGAAGAAGAAGAAGAAGAAGAAGAAGAAGAAGAAGAAGAAGGGAGACTGTAGGGCAATAACCCTGGCATGAGAACCGGGATGATTATTATTCAACTGAAACTTTGCCAAGCTTGAATTCCTGTTTTCGTTTATGGGAGGGATTGGCACAGGGGAGACGGCTGTAGCGATCCAGAGCGGGAGATCAGTTGTTATGTCTGTCTGTCTGAGAAGTCCGTACCTGACAGTCACATGTACTGGCAGGAAGAATGAGAACAATGAAAACGAAGAAACAGAGCAAGGGTACACAGTGACAGAGAGAGAGGGAGGGAGGGAGGGAGGGAGGGAAGGAGCAGACAGATGGAGGATGGATGGAGTCGATGGACAGACCAGAAAAGAGATTTGCAATCGTACTGACTAGCAATTTGGGAGAGAGAGAGAGAGAGAGAGTGCGAAAGGAACAGAGGGAGGGAGAGAGGGAGAGAAGGAGAGAGACTCTTTTCTAGTCTGTACCTGTATGGGAACTTCCAGGTAGGATGGTTCCGAACAACACTGAGGGTCCCTCTGCCCACTGCCGCACCTACGTCAAGCTGCAACAAAAGTCGAACAGTCAAAGCAACCACGAGTCAAACATTCATAACCCACAAGAAGTCAACAAGTCATAAGCACATACACAAACACATACACACACCTTGCACCTTCTATTATATTGCTCATCTACACTTTTTTTTGTTTATGGATGGTTTGTGATGGTATGTGGATGGAGTGAGACACAGAGAGAGAGTTTGGGGATGTTGAAACACACACACAAAGCCACAAACTGAAAATGCCATGTTTTACTACGTTAATGGCTGGATGGAATATAAAACACCGAGAGAACTGGCAAGACCATCCACCGGACGGGAGGCCGAATCCTCTCAAGTACCACAAAATGCGGGAGGTCTCCTTACCGCCACAAAAGGAAGTCGAGAGGCCATCACAATGCCGCCATGTCCAAATGTCACCATATCATCACGTGATTTCACGATGTTGATTACGTTGCAAACTTTCAATATCCAACTATGCTGCGCAGCACTCAATGTCACACGTCCTCATGTCCCACAGTTCCACAACGTCCCACTGCCCCACAATTTCCACAAAGTCCCACTGCCCCACAATTTCCCAATGTTGCATAATTATGTCACAGTTTCTAAATCCCGCGTGATTTCACAATGAGTCACAGGGCCTCGCCAAACCACTGTCGAAACGAAAAGAGTACGAGTGCATCTTCACGCAGAGAGTGGCAAGATGCATCCAATACTATAAATAGCAAAGGGTGCATCTTACCTCCTTCTGGGGAAGACGGACTTGGTGTGGCGAGGCCCACAAAGTTGCAAAGCACAACCTTTTGGGGAAAAAAAAAAAAAAAAAAAAAAAAAAAAAAAAAAAAAAGCAACTTTAAATAGGCCTTCTTAGGAGCAAACCTGACCCCAAGCTACAGGGGGGGTGGAACAGATGGCGATAAATGCAGTCGCAGCGGTGGCTAGGCTCAGGGCCTGGAGTGCAAAAGGTAGCATGGGGGTGTTTGTCAAGGCCCTGGTAGTGAAAAACTCGGTGTCGGCAATGCTGTGGTACGCAAGGGCAGTGCACATGCCAGGTAAACCAACCTTCTGGCATATCAAACATGCAATTCATGCCTACTTATGGTCGAACAATGTGGCTGCTGAAGATTCAATCTGCAGAGTGGCATGGGGCAAGCTGAGTCAGGCAAGATGGTTCGGGGGCTTGGGACTGCTGGATCCGAAGTTCCAGATCGTAGCACTCCAAATTCGGCAATGAATCTGGGTCCTGATGGGGACGATGGGGGATACATGGCAAGAAGTTACACGAGCTCACTTGGGATATGCACTGCACGTCCTGGAGGAGATGGTGGAAATATGCCTGCTGAGTAGCTCTCTGATAGGTCATATTCGCAGAGGCACTGTGTGGTCCACCAAATTGACTTTAAGGAAAAAGGTGCAGGTGATATGTCGGATACCAGCATCTGTGGATGCAGGTTTCAACCAGCTGCTGTTTGACAAAAGATTCATATGCGATGAAGGCGGCGACCCCTTCCCATGGCGGGGTCGGCGGGGAGCATTCGGATGGAAGTGGGCAGAGCGGGGCGGGGGGTATTTTTCAAAGTGGGACATTTATGGGACGAGGACTGCAAAAACTGGCGCACGGATAGCGAGATGATGACAATGCTCGCCGGGAAAGCATGGAGAATGAAATGGGTGAGAGAGCTGAGAGAGGCTATCCCCTCGTGATGGATAGATCTGCTAAAGAAGGACAAGGTGCCACAAGGAGAATGGGTGCGAATTAAAGAAGTCGCCAGGCCAGACATGGTCTATAGAGTGGAACAGCCCCCCCAGGAAGAGTGGTTGGAAGTCACCGCGTGGTACGTCGAATCTGACTCGGGATATGAAGGGATGGGCAAACCCCTGAGGATGTCCCCGGCCACACAAAGACGAATATTGACGAGCGGGGCGTATGCGAGGGAGGGACGAAGGAACAAGGCCAATTCTGCCCATATAGGGTGGCACACTGGCAGCGAGACTTAACTTGGGACCCACGGGACTGGGAGTGGCCTCCTCAGAGGATGCATAAGAAAACAACCCCGCTGCAGCAGCTGACGAACAAGAACATCTATAACTCCCTGCTAGAGCCATGCAACATCTGTGGGAAGCTCAAGAGTCGTTGGGCCAAGAGAGAGGCTTCCAGACGTTTATTACGAAAGATAGACTCAGCGTAAGTGGAACGTGCAATGTGCTCTTATGGAAGCGCTGCCGGATCAGAAACAGGCTGGCTTGCTATGGCAAATCTATCATCTGTCCATTCCAACAGCGCAATGGCTGGCTCTCAGAAGCTTCCATAAGGAGCAACAATGCGTGGCAGGATGTGGAGAGGTGGATACCATACCCCACCTGTTCGTGCAATGCCCGGTAATCCGGGCCTTCTGGACGTGGTGGGCGCAAATAGCAGAGCACACCCCGTTGGAAGTAGCAGAAACGATGAGACGCTCATTCTCCTGGGAACCCTGATGAAGGCCAATAGATTGCAGCCGGAGAATCAGCAGGAAATGGAAATTGTGAGAGCAGCACTAATACGGACCATCTGGACCCTGAGAAACGAGTGATGCAGACAGGGCACGGCCCCCACCCTGCAGGCATATCAGGGACAAGCGAGGGAAAATATTCGAGTGGCCATTCAGGCTGACTTCCGTCGGTGTGACCAAGCAGGAGAAGGAAAGGATCGCTTTTGGAAGAGATGGAACTCCTATCCGCCGCTGCTGGTACCGGACCCCCAGTCGGGTCGAGTCTCGTTTCGGACTCTTGTTGCTGAGACGAACATGTCAAGCGGAGACCGATGTGTAATATAGAGGTTTGGAAGTTAGTGGGAAATTGGGAATGGACGAGGATAGGATGGAATCAAGTTGTAGGATAGGCAAACAAAGAGAGGGATGAGAATAGGATAGGAAGAAAGTAGGCGTGGGGATACAAGTATGTGAGGGGAGGGGGAGGGGGGGAAGGGAGACAAAGCTGTAATAAAAAAGCCGGGGTGCTATACATAGAAGGGAGCTTGTGAGTATTAGGGGCATAGCCCAAGGTAGGGAATAAGCACATAATGCGAGGTCAAGCATGAGGCATATATATTGTAGTTTGTAGTAGTAAAGTAGGCAATTGCAAGGAACCCGACTGTTCAACACTTGCTGGAGTGCATCAGATCACATGCATTTACACAGATTTCCCAGATTGCGATGTCTCACACAAAGCCCAACAGAAGATGAATGAGAACCAGGAAGCTCAACTCAATTAATTATCAAACCCAGATTAGAGAGAGAGCGTAGTGAGTCCAAATGTACAGCGCCAAACACAGTTACAAGTCTTCTCCAAAATCAACATGAGTTCCCAGGCCTGGCGCTCATCAGCACCAGCTGCCGAACATCAACAAGGGCGCTAAATAGGTAAGTGTCACCTTAGCTCACACCTCCCCCTCTCTCGTCTGCTTTCTTCTCTCTCTCCCTCTATATGTATAGTCCTGGTCTACTCAAACTCGACATGCATGCACACTCCCTGTCACACGAGGATCTACTCTGAATACTACTCACTGGTGTCTGCTACTGACTATCCCTACTAATATACTAACTAGCGCTGGCGCAGCTATGGCTGCCTTTCTTCCAGCCAGCGCCCTCTTCTGCACATGTAGCGCCGCTCACAGCCTAGCGCAACTCACACACATCTGGTGCACAAGTGCCACGGCACTTCCACACTCTCATGCGAGATGAGCATCTGCCAAATGGGAGGCTGGCCAGTCCTTTATAGTGCTGGACTGGTCTGGCGTGGCCTGCGTTCAGCCTCAAGTGTGCCTGGGACTCCTGCCCAGTACCTGTTGTTGCAAAGTGTGTGTCCCAGTATCTTTTCCCATGGTCTGCTGCTGCTTTG